CTGGGATCGAGTCCCACATCGGGCTCCCTGCTCCGCGGGAAGCCTGCTTCTCCCTCTCCCACTCCCCCTGCTTGTGTTCCTGCTCTCGCTGTCTCTCTGTCAAATAAATAAATAAAATCTTTAAAAAAAAAAAAAGTTTTTATTTAAGTAATCTCTACACCCAACATGGGAGCTGGAACTCACCACCCAGAGATCAAGAGTTGCATGCTCTTCTGACTGAGCCACCCAAACGCCCCATGGCTCAATTTTTAGAAACACATCTATTCCACAATGTGAAGAATTAAAATCTAATTTGGTTTTCAGTCCACTGACTGCCTTTCACACCTTGACTTTTCTCAAGAGGAATGACTTTTTAAAAACAAACAGTAATTTTTAAACAAATGAATCTTCCAAATATACTAATTTTGGAGATTTTTATAGGTCTTTTTTCATATAATATCCTTAAAGCCTGCAAACATTCATAGCTAGGAATACTGGGGTTTCTTTTCCCCTTAGTCTCATACAAAATGGATTTGACAACTCGCTTTCAAAGCCCTGCGTGGGATTTCATTTGAGCGCATAAAACACAGAACACCCCTATGCAATGCCAAACAAAAGTGCAATTGCACAGAGATACCCAATCCCTCGCGCGCGAGTCCACCTGAAAGGGCGGAAGCAGAGGCCGCAGCAAAATGCACCAGTTTCCACAGCATCCCTCCAGCCCGGCCTTTTGCTGCTCCCTAAGACCCTTGGCATCGCAATCACTCCTCGCGCCTTAAGGCGCCCTCGGCCTGGGGCATTCGGACTACTCCTTCCCAGGCAAATTACTGGACACTATCCCTGGACTAAGGAGGACAGCTCTAGATAGCTTGGTCTCCAAAATCCCTGAGGAAATGGAAGAAGGAAAAAATCCTGTCAAAGAAAAATTGGCAGCCAAAGCTACAGTGCTCACCAAGTCGACGCTATCAACCTCCGTCCGCCCGCGCTAACCGTTGGCTCGAAGGCCGCTACAGGCAACGTCGCAGTGGCTCCTGGGGACTGTAGTTTCTATCGCCGACAGAACGCGTCGGCACATCCAAAAAAAAACCACATTTCCCAGAAGTCAATGCGAGACCGCCCTGACCTCTTAAATCTCGGATTTGGCGTAATAAAGAGACTGTCACTATTTTCAGGCTATCTTAAATTTCGATTCAATTTCTTCCAGGTGTGTGTTTACGCCCTCTTTCTTTGCCGTGCTTGTCTTGTCTGTTATAGTTTCAGTATACTTCAACTCCTTACTTTTCTTTCCCCTTCTCCAGCCGGGATAATCCAAACGCCAGGGGACGAAAAACGCCCCCGACGCAAAAATGCCCCGTAGGCGCATGCGCCTTGCCCGCCAACACGCATGCGTAGCAGCCGGCAGCAGTTGGCGGCCGCTCGCGGACTTGGGGTCTGGAGGTAGCCGGTCGGAGGGCGGGGCTTTTTCCAATGGCTTTGCCTCCGCGGGTCGCATCTGCTAGGGCGGGGAAGAGGGCGCTGGGGCAGGGGCGGCTCCTGGTTAATGCCGGGCGGAGAAAGGGGAGGGGCTGGGGTGAGGACCCCATCTTCCCTCCCTGCTCCCGCCCTCTGGGCCGAGCCCCACAGATGGGGCTGGGTGAAGGGGAGGGCTTTGCGCCTCCGGCCTGGCTTCTCCGCCGGCTCCGCGGCCCAGCCTGGCTTTCGGGGATTGCGGCCCAGCCCTGTGCTCCTCAGGTTTAATGGGCGGTGGGCGAGGACGCAGGTATAGGAAAAGAAGTGGCGTCTGTTCGGGGATCCAGAATTTTCGGGGCCGGAGACACTTTCCTCCAGCGCTGCAGCTGAGAGAGCGGCTGCCAGAAGCTGCCGCCACCAAGGAGCGACCGGGTCTCCAGCCGCGGCAGCCAGTGAGCAAGGGTTTGGCGAGATTTCCCCACTGGCTCCCGGCTGGCCGCTGAGGGGTAGGGAGGAGCTGCAGAGGGCGGAGACTGGTGCCGGAGGAGGGGCGGGGTGGGAATGCTCCTGAGAACACGGTGGCTGCCCAGACCAAAAACCCCGAATGGCTGGAGCGCATTCAACTGTTACCAGCCTTTTTGGGCAGAGCACGGATTTGACAGCTCCACAACGTGAGGATATCCGCTGACCCCGCGAGACGAAGAACACTTCCCCGAGACTGCCTGTCCAGCAAAGCCAGCGCTGTAGGGTGCCAACTTTCCAACTTTTTAAAAATCTCTGACAAGAAGACTGCCCCTTCATGTAGGAGAGAGTGAGTTCTGTGTTGCAGATCGGTTGCAAACCATTAATATAAAAGACACTTCTGGTTCCAGATGTCTCCCAGACATTTGTGTTTTCATGACGATTCGATTTCTCCGATTTTATTCTTACATTTCTCGTTTTAAAAATACAAAGTGCTTTTGGGGACATGCTGAAGGGTAACTGAAGACGGCAAAGAAAAACATCTCCAGTTGTCATGGCTGAAGGAGAGAATGAAGTGAGATGGGATGGACTGTGCAGTAGAGATTCAACTACTAGAGAGACAGCACTGGAAAACATTAAGCAAACCGTTTTGAGAAAAACCGAGTATCTTCGTTCCGTGAAAGAGACACCTCTTCGTCCATCAGACGGGCTTTCAAATGCTGTTTCTTTGGATGGGTTAAATAAACTTCTTGCTCATCTGCTTATGCTTTCTAAGAGATGTCCCTTTAAAGATGTAAGAGAGAAAAGTGAATTTATTTTGAAGAGCGTCCAGGTAAGAAAACATTGTATTTACAACTGTCCATCTAGTACAGTGCAGTTTTACTTGCAGTTATTCACTTTGTATTTGCTGCTAGGTGGTTATGTGAACCCATTACGAATTCCTTCTACATCTTAAATTTAGAGTGGCTTGTAAGACATTGAATCTGGGGCCAAAACTGTACAGGAGGAACTAAAGTAAAAGCAGTTTTCAAATACAAGTAAACAAGAATTGTCTTTCTAGAGAGTTTTAGCAGAAACTGCATTCCTCCCAGAAAAGTATGACAAAGTTACAGTTAATTGCAAGTAAAGACTTGCTTTTTCGTATATTTATTTTTACATGTTGTTAGGAAGTATAGTCAGTATACTTTTCACATTGTTACAAACAATATTCTGTGTGGAAAGTTTCTCATTTAAGCCTCTCAAATGATAAAGGATATTAAATGTTTCTTCACTTGTTCAGGATAATTGGTGAAAGTTTTCTCATGTTCTTAAAAGCAAAACAAAAACTCAGGGTCTGTTCTCTAAAGACAACCTTTCTTTTTAAAAAAAAAAAATGAATTACATAAAATAATAAAAGCCTGTGTTATAAAGGAGCTAACATCTTCAGATTGAAAAGTTGAACCCAGGTTGAGTGAATGCTAGAAATGCTCATGGTAAATTATTCATTAGTTTTCTCTGTGTTTGCCTCAGTTGTTTGATTTTTCTTTTTCACATGCATACCTACTTAAGTTTTCAGTGCAACAGATTAAAAATGTTAGTTTTCTTCCTGTTCTGTACATAATCAATTTCTCCTGTTTTATTGGAAGATTTATTAGAAGGGTTTTGTTTGGGCTTGTTTGTTTAGAGAAAGGTTGTTTTTAGATCCTAAGAATGGTCAGTGACAATATGCTGGTCAGTCTAAATTAATCCATGTGTTTGAAGTCATTTATGGGAAGCTCTTAAAACTTATAGTTTACTTGGGTATATATATATAAGCTAAGATTAATAGTTTTTCTATTTTGGTTAGTTTAAAGCAACAGAAAAATAATCATGTCCATAAAATGAAGACTCTGTTCAAGATCTTGGGATATTTCTTCTCACAAACAGTTCGGGAACAATTGTTACAATTCATTTATCCAGAGTTATCAGAGAGGAATTAATTTTCTGGATACCTGAAGTTTACCCTTTTAAGCCTTGAAAGTTATTTCTCTATTTCTTAGACTGTAGTGTCTAGAACAACCATTTTTTTCCCATAAAGGGATCATCATTAGGCACATCAAGTACTATTGTTTAACTGAGGTGGAGTGTATAGGACTACATGATCCATGTTTTTTGAATTTTTGTGTTCAATTTTTAATAGTTTTTCTGTTCCTCCCCTTACTGTCAGTATACTTTGTTCTCTTCCTGAATCTTCAATTTTGCTGTTTATTTATATTCAAATGGGAAAGCAGATAACCAATTTAGTTAAGAATTATATTGAAAACAGAAGTAATTAGGCTCTGGGGAATGCAGGGTCAAAGGACTGTGATATATTGGTAAGTAAATGAGTACTGGAGTCAGACAGACCTGGGCTCAAATTCTCCTCCTTTATTAATGTACTGCATAACCTTGGACAAGTTAAGTTACTTGATCTGAGTTTGGATTTCCACATCTCTGAAATGGGAATAATAACATAGAGCTGTTGTGAGAATTAAAGGAGATGTAAAGTGCCCCCGTATAAAATGAATGCTCCTCTCCTTTTTCATAAGTGAAAGACATGGGCTATGTGATATATATTTCAGGATTCATTTATCCTGAAAAAAGTTCAAGAGTCTACTCCACTGTGAAGGTTTTCCATAGATTTATACTCCTTTTGCATCTCTGCATCTATTGCACTTAATTCCTGCTACTATTATAACAGGCACTGTACTTCTATTGTGCTATCATCACATGTTTATGTCTGTCCCCTCGGAAGGGCCGTTAAGTTCTCAAGAGTATTGGCTGGGACCTGGAAGCTACTAAATATCCAGTAGATGAACAAATTCGTATTTGGCTTCTTTTTATTTCTTATCAGCCTGAATAAAGTCACCAGATTAGGGAGTTTCCATCCCCACATCATTCATGCATGTCTTCAGACAACAAATGTTAATTGAACCCCTGGCGAATGCCATTCTAAGAACCAGTGGTGAACAATTTTGACATTTTACTAGAGAGAGACCATAAAGAAGTAAACAAATAATATAATTTTAGATAGTGAGGGAAGACTTCCCTGAAGAGATGACATTTAAGCAGAGATTTGACAAATGAATAGCTGTAATCCAGACAAAAATGAAATTTGTGAGGGGGACATTCCACACATAGGGAACAGTTGTGTAAAAGAGCTCATGGCAAGAGAGAACAGATGAGTTCTAGGAACGGAAAGTAACACAATGTGGTTGGAGCATATTTTTGAAGGGAGAGTGAAAACTTAAGCACATTCTCTGTCAGATCTGGCTCCAATACTTTATTAGCTCTGCAATGTTGAATAAGTTGCATAATTTCTCCTTGACTCAGTTTCCTTATCTGCAAAATGAAGACAATGCTCACAATGAGAATAAAATGAAAAATGCTTGCAAAACATAGCACAGTGCAATAGCACATAAGAAATGCTCAGTAATATTAAGAATTCTTACTGTCTTTATTTTATTTATTTTTTTTTTTTAGGAATTCTTACTGTCTTTAGGCAGGAGTTGGATAACAGAGGATCTTGTAGGCCAAGTTAAGAGTGGTAGACTTTATCCTAGTAACAATTGGAATCCACTGAGGGGTTTTGAGCAAGATGGGGACATGATCCATGGTGTATTTGAAGGATTACTTTGGGAGCAATGCAGAGAATGAATTTCACGGGTCAGGAGTGGATGTGCAACATCAGTTAGGAGGTTATTCCACTAGTCCAAAGCGAAAATTATGGTGGAGTAGGATATAGTGGGGAAAAGTGGGAAACAATCTATGGGTTTGGGAGATTGCTAAGAGTTAGCAACCACAGGATATGGTATTGAATTGGATATAGGAGATGAGGAAGTAAAATCAAGGATGCTCTCTGGGTCTGGCTTGAAGTACTTGGTGAATAGTTCAGCCATTTCCTGAGACAGAATAGTGGTAAAGGATCAATTTGGGAGGAGTGGTGAGTTCTATTTTAGACATGTGGAGATTAAGTTGCCTATGATACATCTGATTAGAAAAAGCTCCTGAAGGGATTTCTGCCCCTGCTACTGTGGTTGTAGTTCTGTCATTGTTATCTGTCACTTCTCCAGACTTAACCCATCCTCCACCTTGATATCCATCCTCCACATAACTTCAGAGTCATT